CACCCTTTCCACATACACCTGGGTCTTCTGCCAGGGATGTTGAGGGTCAATTTCCTCGAGCTCTTGGAGGCTCTGTGGTACTCTCAGTCTCTCCAGGGGGCACTTCAGGAGGCCGAATACTCTGACTTCTACTGTTGTACGTTTTAGCCACACCTTCAGCATCCGCTCAGTTTTCTGACCTCCATCAGTGCTCGGCAGTGTTGTTTGTAGCAAGAATTCTTACTGTCTGGAAAGGCCGAGAATAAAAATATTCAGGTAGGACTACTTTTGTTCTTTTAAAAAATATTTATTTTTATTTTTTGTGTCCGAGTGTTTGACTGTGTGTATGTCTGTGCATGTGTATGAAGTGCCCACAGAAGCCAAAAGAGGGCAGCAGACTGCCTGGAACTAGGGTTACAGTGTCTTACAAGCTTCTTCTCACCTTGTCCTGTCCTGTCTCTCAGTCTACACCAGTGTCATTTCTGCTGGTTCATTTTCTCAAGAACTTTGTGAGCTACCATGTGGGTGCTGGGATTTGAACCTAGGTCCTCTGGGAGAGCAGCCAGTGCTCTAAGCCATCTCTTCAGACCCTGCTTGTGTTCTTCTGCTTTTTTTACTGGGATATGCCTTACAACGCGCGCACGCCATTTTGATGTTATAGATTATAATAGAAACACATGGGAAACATGTTAGCAGGGTTTGGATGGACACCTCAGCAAGGCCTGTTCTAGTGCTATAAGTCTGTGAGGGAGCCTTGGAATCACTGTTTTCCAGCTCAGGACCAAACCTTTGGAAAGGACCTGCTGCATCATCCCATGGCTCCAGGACTGTGTGATTGTAAAGGTTCCTTTTATACAGCCTCCTCCTCTCTCAGCTCTGCTCCGCCCTCCCCTCCCTCCCTCCTTCCTCCCCTGCTGTGGTGGATTAAGAATGGCCCCATAGGCTCATATGTTTAAATGCTTAGTCACTAGGGAGTGGAACTCTTTGACAGAATTACAAGGGGCCTGGCGGTGGTGGTGCATGGTTCGAGGCCAGCCTGGACTACAGAGTGGGTTCCTTGAAAGGTGCAAAGCTACACAGAGAAACCCTGTCTCGAAAAACCAAAAAAAAAAAGAATTACAAGGATTAGGAGATGTGGCCTGTTGGAGTAGGTGTGGCCTTGTTGGTGGATGTGTGCCACTTAGGGTGGCTCTGAGGTTTGAAAAACCCACGCCAGGCCCAGCTCTCTCTCTCTGCCTGTGGATCAGGATGTAGAACTCTTAGCCACTTCTCTAGCACCATGCCTGCCCTGCCCGCCACCATGCTCCCCACCGTGGTGTTAGTGGACTGAGCCCCTGAAACTGTAAGCCCGCCTCCAGTTATAGCTTTCTCTTTAAGAGTTTCTGTGGCCAATAGAATGGTGACTAAGACAGCTGCTCTTTCTTCCTCCTCTTTTTGAGGTAGTTGTGATTCTCCTGCCTCAGCTCCCAAATGCTGGGCTTTTTATTTGTTTGCTTGTTTATTTGCACGTGTCCCTTGAGACACATGCAGCGGTCAGAAGGACTTGATCCTCGCCATCATGGAACCCCGGGATCGGGCCCAGGTCGTCAGGCTAGCACAGCACCTTTACCTGCAGAACCACCTCCCCGGCTCCCCGGATGCTGGCAGGCATCATAAGTGTGCACCACCACACGCAGTGTCCTTTCACTGTGCTTTAAAATCTCTTTGTTAAAAAACGTAATAATTCTTATATTTCAGCGTTTACTTTTTCCCCTAATCCTAGTATTAATAAATGTGATATTCAACTTAGATTAATTTGTTTAAGCTCATGCTGATAGTTGAGTCATACTTTTTAAAAATTAAATTTGGTTTATTTAAATATTTGTTTTGTGTGTGTGCATGTGTGTATGCGTGCATGCGTGTGTGTGCGCGTGCGTGCATGTGTGTGTGAGTGCATGCGTGTATGTGCGAGTGCGTGCACGTGTGTGTGCGTGCGTGTGCGTGTGTGCGTGCATGTGTGTGTGTGTGTGTGTGTTTGTAGGTCAGAAAATCACTTAGGGAACTCAATTCTCTCCTTCCACCATGTGGCTGTAAGGATTGAATTTAGCAGACAAACCTCATGGCAAGCAACTTTACCTGCTGGATTAATCACTTTCCATTATGGTGATAAATCACTATGCTTAAAAGCACCTTCGGGGGGGGGGGGGGTTATTTTGGCTTCTGGGTCCAGAGGGAGAATCTGTAACAGTGGGGGAGGCGTGGTGTGGTGGCAAGAGGGTGTAGCTGAGAGATCACATCTCAGCTGCATGCAGGAAGCACACCACAGGAGTAGGAACAGGTCGAGGCTACAAACCTCAAAGCCCACCCCCAATGATGTACTTCATCCAGCACGGCTGTACCTTCTAAGGGTTCTATGACCTCCCCAAAGAACACCACCATCCAAGGACCAAGTGTTCAAATACAGGCGCCTGTGGGGGAATTTCTCAACCACCACACCCGCTGATTCATCGCACCGGCCCTAGGCCATAATTTTTTCCCTTGCACATCTGGGTACTTTTCTGGCCGATAGCTTAGCCTATTCAGAAAACAATTCAGGCCCAATAAACTACGAACTGGAAGCTCTTCCTGAGTAGACTTTGGCGTATTGAGTTTTACATAGTGTCTTTATTTACTGGGTGTGGTGGTGCACACCTGTAACCCTAGCAGAAGATGAGCCGGGGGTGGGTGTGGGGGGTGGGGGATGGAGGGGTGGGGGGTGGGGGGACACTGGAAGGGACAGGACAGGGGACCACAACGACACATGAGTTCCAGGCCAATCTGGGCTACACAGTTTCAGGCTAGCCTGGGCTGCAGTATGACAGCCTGTCTTAAAAAGGCAGACTCATGGAAAGGGTTGCAGAAAGATTTGGTATTGATAGCTCAACCATGATGCCGTGTCATTCCACGACTCCAGGCCTCACAAGTCCGCCAGTGGATAGCGCCACTGAGACTCGCCTGCTCGATTGTGTGGGGAAGCAGTTGTCTGAGACAATGTCCTGTCTGCTCCCCCGGCCCTGCAACCCTCTGAAAGCAGTGTTTCACAGTCTTAAGCGGCTCTGGTTTCGCCCACAGAAAGGCCCTGGTGCAGCGCCCCCTGCTGGTGAGCGGCAGTTGAGGGTAGCATCCTGTCAGTGATGGGCGCAGTGAGTCCCCTAGCTGACATGGGCGCCGGGGGTAATGCTGAGCCTGCCAGGTCATTTTACATCATGTCCTTAAAGTAACAGAAAGTCGACTCTATAGAAAACGAGCAGCTCACTGTTTTGTGTTTTCTCTACATTTTTTTTTTCCTGACGGGACGGTTCGCTGTAGCTCAGTTTGGTTGATAAAATAGAAGCGCTTTACAGAAGGGTTTGCATTTCTGTGTCTGCCTTAGTTCACAAGTCATTTCACTCTAATTCTCAGGAGCCATCCCCTCCTATCACCGGGAAACCTGACTAGAGCCTCCCCAGAGAAGGTTTAAGTGTGAAATATTTTAGGAGTGTTAATTTTGTTAAGCAATTAAGAGAGCACTTGAAGGGGACAGAAAGCCCTTTCCTCTTTCACGTCAGTGGGATGAGTTAGCATTCCCTGACGCGGGTCTCTAAGTGGTCATGTTAAAGAAAATTAATTAAAGCGAAGGACAGACGAGTGCTTTCGTTTGTCATTTTAACTTTGACTTCTGAATGGGATGGCTTGAAAATGCATAATTATCCATTTCATTTTGCTCTTGCAGCCAGTGGGGCTAAGCATGCCTGTCTGTATCAGCTCCCCACACCCTGCTATGACCGAAATACCACAGAGTACAACTCAAAGGAGGGAGGTGCTCTTGGGCCCAGGGTTTCAGAGGCCTCCGTCCATGGCTGCCGGGCCCCAGATACCTGGCAGGACATTGTGGCAGTCTTCACCTCATGGTAGACAGGAAGTAGATCACAGGAGACAGGAAGTGATGATGGACAAGATACTCCCAAAGGATCCACATCCAGTTTTATACTTCCTCCAGCTGGGTCAGTCCCACTTCCTAACGTTTCCAGAACTTCCTAAAATAGCTTCCCCAACTCGGGATGATAAAATTTAACACATGGTGCTGGGGGCAGTAGCTAAGAGTTATATCTGCAGGCAGCAGGCTGAGAGAGACACACATACACGGGGCCTGGTGTAGGCTTTTGAAACCTCAAAGCCCACCCCCAGTGACACCTCCCCTCTAGTAAGGCCACACCTCCTAACCCTTCCAAACAGTTTCACTAACTGGGGATCCAGCATTCAAACACATGAGCCTATGGTGGCCATTCTCATCCAAACCACCCCAGGTCCCCTGGAAGAGCAATAAGTATGCCTAACCACCAAGCCCAAGACGCTGTCTTGAGAAGCAAACAAATATACCATCACCACCACAACAAAAAAATCCCCCAAATGAGGGAACAAAAAATGAAGGAAAAATTTAATTTAGCAACATGGGACCCCCTTGGAGGACAGTTTGGGTGGGCTGTGGGAACAGAATCCTACTTAGCATGTGTTGACTAGTGAATGAATGGGGAGAGATAAGGTGAGAGTCTTGTCAATGAAGAATAGAGAAAGCTATCTCCAGAGATGGGTGTGGGTGTTCTTCCATTTTCGATCTGTGTAACAAAGTATCTGACACAAGCTACTGATGAAGAAAAATGATGTGGATCCGGAAGTGTTCTCATGTGCTGAAGGCTTCACTCCCAGCGCAGAGGATGGGGCTCCTCGGAAGTGTGTGGATCTTGAGGGTTCCGACATAATCACTGGGTAGAGTCACAGATGGATTCCTAACTTGGTGGCATTACACAGAGGTCATGGAGAAAAGGGATTTGGTCCTTGTTAAAGCAGGTGGGCCCCGGGTGTGTGAAGGGTTTCTCTTATTTATTTATTTATTTTGGTTTAGGGTTTGTCCTATTTCTCATCTTTTCTCTGCTTTGACCATGCTTTCCTGTTGGCATGAGGTGAGTTGCTTTTGTCTTTATCTCATGTCTCTTTCTTCTTGCATCCGGCCCAAACGGAGTCAGCCAACCAATGGCAGGAGCCTCTGAACCCACAAACTCAAATAAACCTTTCCTCCCTTTGAATGGATTTGGGGGTGTACTGAAGCAGTGGGAACCCTGACGGACGCAAAAGGAGCTTCCTTACCTTAACCATTGAACTGTCAAGGTAGGTCCAAGTAGTGTGACTCAGGCTGCCTGCATCACCTCCCGGCAAATAACAGTCATGGGGTGTGAGAGAACATGGGAGTCAGGAAGCAGAAAGAGCAGGTAGGATTAGGGTTAGGCTTGTATGTGTATTTATGTATTTATGTATATATGTATATATGTATGTGTTTTTTATGTGTATGTGTGTAGGTACACATGGTACATTTATAGAGGTCGAAAGACAACTTGCAGGAGTCGGTTCTCTCCTTCCACCATGTGGGGCGCAGGGACTGAACTCAGATTGTCAGTCTTGGTGGCAAGAACCTTTACCCACTGATCCATTTTGCTGGCCCCAGGCTTGTTCTTTGAGTAACATCCTCCATCAGGAAATATTATCAGTGGACCCAACCTCTAACAGATTCTACCATCTCCTAACGGTGCCACAGTAGGGACCAAGACCCCCGTATATCAATCTTGGGGGGAAGATACAAGCCATAAGATAGGATTCTAATATAAGTGAATTTTCTGACAATTAAAACCATAGAGCCACAGTCAGGGACACTTATGAGTCGCCTCAGCAGAAATGCTGTGGGCCAACGATGTATAAGGATAGGATGTTTTGCTTATTTTCTTATTATTTTTGTTTGTGTGTATGAGTTTATGAACTGAAGTTTGCATCTTTTACCCTCCTGTGCTGTCCTTTGAGAGTTATTTGGACGTTCTTACAGAGGACCACAGCTACTTGTACACCCTTGATTGAAGACCCATCGTCCCCTGTCAAGGAAGGTTGGCCTCTAAGCACGTGGCTTAGGGAGGGGACACATATGGAGCCATGAGAGAGTAGAGGACACCTGCCTGACTTCTCCTCTCTGTCCTCATCCACCCCTTCCCACTTCCCATCAGCTCACAGGCCCTCATCTCTGGGATGAGGACACCCGTTGATGCTCTGATAGCAGCACAATGAGTGCCTATCCGGACCCCACTTCCTGTCCCCCAGTGTGAGACCCGGAAACAGAGCCTCCAAGAGGTGATGTCAGTCAATAACTTTACCTTCCTCTGGTTTTCTTTTCATCTCTAAAGTGGGGATATCAAGTGCTTTTACCCCCTAACACTGTTTGAGGATTAAATGACAAAACACTGATGTCCCCAGACTCTAGGCATGGCCTTGGCAAGGACATTCCTGGAAAAGCCCCAGTCCCGAAAGCCAGTTCTGATTCGAACCGGCTGCAGTAGAGCTCCCGGTAGCTTGGGAGTCCCGGTTCCTTGACTTCCATTACTGCACGTGTGCTGTCTGTCCAGAGCGCTCAAACTACTTTTTTCTTTCAATCAAAGCTTTAAAGAGGATTAACTAGATGGTGTTGTACTCAATCATGGAGGAATTACCTTTTATTATGGAGCCGTTTTTTAAAATCATTTATTTGGTTTCCATATGCACACACCGCCATGAAAGAATGTTTTACAACCTGTGATTTAAATGGAGGTTTCTACTCTGCTTACGGGTGGAATGCTCACAGAATAGTCTGTGATTTTATCCCCGCCGGGTAACCTCGTAGAGAGACCCAGTCCGTCCCTGGGGATGTGGCCTGGAGGATATGGTTGACTCAGAGAAAATAGCTTGCAGAGTGACAGGACACTCCTCAACCAGCTCCATCAGCTCTCCCTGAGGCAGGAGGCTGGGTACCTGTGCACACACCACTAAGAGCACATATCTTTGTGTGCTAAAGTGAATACAGTACCACTTGTTTTTCATTTACTATTATACAAGTAAGAGACTGTTAAAAAGTCACGTTTGACCTGTGTGTTCCCCCTGCAATTCTATTGAAACAAGAAATAAAAGTATTGAAAAACAAACACAAGCAAAACAAAAGACCTCACCAGGCTGGAGAGATGGCTCAGTAGCTAAGTGTATTTATTGCTCTTGGAAAGGACCGGGCTTAGGTTCCCAGCACCCACTTGGTGGCTTACAACCACCTGTAACTCCAGCTTCAGGGGCATCTGATGCCTTCTTCTGGCTTCTGTGGGTTCCTGCAGCCCAAGGTGCATATAAACTCATGCAGGCACACACACACACACACACACACACACACACACACACACACACACACCCCAATAAATAAACAGATAATCCTAAAGCCTGTAAAACAAGACATCACTAGGACAAAGAGAACAAGGGAGAAGAAGACAGGAAGCACAGGAAGGTGGGAATGTGGGATAGATGACGTGGCCCCCACAGCAAAACTCTATTCCGAGCTGGTGGGAAAAGTGAAGGAGCATTTTAGTTTATGCTAAACCTTTCTCCCAAGGCCTGGGAATAGTCAGACTGAAGTTGGAAATGGGTCTGAAAACAAAACTCTATGGAAAGTTGTCTAGTTAGCACTAGAAAGAGTCTAGTTAGCACTCAGAGCCTCTCTGGGTAGTGCTCCGGGTCCTGCCAGCAGAGGGGAACAATTCTGTCATCCTGGGAGGTAGAGGTCCAGGGCCTTGTTGGCAGGGACTTGAGCATCTGCTTTATTTCTTCCCTCACACCAACGGTCTCACAGCCAAGTAGAAGCCCTCACTGTGGACCAGCTGCCTCGCATCGTGCTCCGGCTTCACTGGCCTTTCTCCATCCTCACCTCAGCTCCAGGACCTGGCTTTGTCACACAGAGATCCATCCCAGGTGCAGGTAGGTTGGGAATTTCTCTCCTCTTTCTTTTTGATGTATTGGTTATTTTACTTTTCTGTGTGTCTGTATGTGGTGTGCCTGTGTGCGCATGGATGTGGGATGTGTACTGAATGAGTGCAGGTGCCTGTGGAGGCCAGAAGAGGGCGTGGGTTCCCCTGGAGCTGAGTTACAGGCAGTTGTGAGTTGTGGGTGCTGGGAGCCGAACTCCGGTTCTCTGCAAGAACATTGTGACATTATTCTTGGGGTCAAAATGACTACATCTAGAATTACTAAAACCCAAGAGACTGAGTACACTGTGAGGGACTTCTTAATTAAGTCATTTGAAATGGAAAGATTCACCTTTAATCAGGATCTTTCAAGGTAGGGAGATCCACCTTTAATCCAGATCTTTTGAGGTGAGAAGATCCACCTTTAATCTGGGCCACACTTTCTGTTGGCAGCCTATATAATGGACGTGGAAGATGGAAGCTTGCTCTCTCTTTGCCTGCTTACCTCATTCTTGCTGACAAGTCCATTTCTTCACTGGCATAGAGCTGACTCCTTTGGGATTCTGGTGTATACTGAGGACTGGCTGAGACACCCAGCCACTGTTGGACTAGCTGGACCACTGCCTGTGAGCTACTCTAACAAATCATTGTTTTCTTGCTATATGAGATATATTTATATATATATTCATTCTACCAGTTTCGTTCTTCTAGAGAACCCCAACTAATACACGCAGCAAATGTTGTTAACTTCCTTTTTTTTCAGTGCTTGAGTATAAACTCAGGGCCTCTTTCCTGCTAGGCAAGTGTCCTACCCCTGAGCTCCAGTCGCAGCCTCTTACTGCTGGATTCTATGTTATTACTTTGCCACTAAGCTGCAACCTAGATCTTCATGTTACACAATTCAAATTTTTTGAGACAAGAGTCTTACTGAGTTGCCCAGGCTGGCCTTGAACTCACTCTGTAGCCCAGGCTAGCCTGGAACTCACTCTGTAGCTCAAGCTGGTTTTGAATTTGCTCTGTATCCCAGGCTGGTTTAGGATTTCAGATTTTCTAGCCTCAGCCTCCCGGAGTAGCTGGGATCAAACTGTGCCAACAGGCTGGCTTCCTCCCTGGTAGTGACCTTCCCTTCTGTGACTTCTTATTCACCCCCAAGCATATGGCTGACTGAGTAACATCACCGACTCTCCGAGCTCCATCGCTCTGACCGTTCTTGCTTCTGCTAATGTCCCCGCTCTGTGGTCACTTACAAACTCTGTCCAGGGCTCCATGCTGAGCACCCACGGGCCTGTTATCTCCCTTACGTCACCCCACCAGTCCCTGGTTCAGTCTTCGCCATTACATTTTGCAGCTGAGCACTGGAGAGGTTTCCCCCTCTCTTAGGGGAGAGCCCCCCCCCCATTATAGCTGCTTCTTTGGTGACATCAAGCTTTTCTCTAACGTGTTTTCTATTCTTTTATGAGGTTCTTGGTGCTGTTCTCAGAGTCTCATTTTTATTTTCCCCGGAGGGCCGCCTCCATTACTGCGGCTGCTGAGTGCCGCGCAGGCAGCGTGGGAGGTTTCTCCCTGTCTGCCCTAGTCTTCAAGTGAGCATGTGAGTGGGTGATCACACAGATGCTGAAGGCCACAGGCTGTTTCCCAACCACACTCCTCTTCTCGGGGGACTCCTGTGTTTATTCCTTGCTTTTCCAGGTTTCTTTCTGATTAAAGAGGATTTAGCGCATCAGGGTCTTGCAAATCTAGATTATCTGAGGTCTTCCGTAAAATCGTCTTAGTCCAAGGAGAGAGAGCCAGTTCAAATGCTACAAATGGACATCATCAGAGGGTAACAAAAGGATGGCCCGAATTGTGTTTATGAATCTGTTTCCCCCTGGCTTCTAAAACAGATTCCGTTGCTTGGGTCATTTTCATGACTCTCAAAATGGAAAAGCCCTTGAGGGTAATAATTCCTCCATCAGATGAACTGAGTCCCAGGGAGGCCAATGCCTTGAGCATACATGTGACTGGGAGGGTTATGTATAAGACCTGTGTCTTCTGGTGTGGGGCTTTTCTTCTCTCTCTCTCTCTCTCTCTCTCTCTCTCTCTCTCTCTCTCTCTCTCTCTCTCTCTCCTCGCTAGTCCTCTAAGTACCTAAGTGTGCCAAGAGACCCATAGGCTTCCTTGATCATCATTTTGGGGAGATAGGGAACCATCTTGCTTACTGATTTTTTTTGGAAAGATATTCTTGGCTTCAATGCATTTTAATCTGATTATTTTTATTCTGTTGTTTGTTTTTGAGACAGGTTCTTATTATACAGCCCAGGCTGGCCTTGAACTTGATGTTCTCCTGCCTTGGTCTCCTGAATGCACCACCATGCACAGTTTGTAAACCTATTTAAAAGTTGTTTTAAAATCTTAAATTTATTATAATTGTATTATGTGTATATGATGAGGAGTGTATGCCCATCACAAGTGTGCACATGAAGGTCAAAGGGCAACTTCATTATAATTGTGTGGGTGTGTGATGGGTTGCACACGTGAAGGTCAAAGGACAACTTTGTGAGGTCTGTTCTCTCACTTTTAAGTGGAGTCTGGAGATTGAGCTCAGGTTGTCAGGCATTAGCCCTATACACTTTTTTTTTACTATATTAAAGCAATTGTGTGTGTGTGTGTGTGTGTGTGTGTGTATGAGAGAGACAGAGACAGAGAGAGAGACAGAGAGAGAGAGCACATGTATGCCAGGGAGGTCAGTGGACAGCTTTCAGGAGTTGGTTCTCTCCTTCCACCATGTGGGTTCTGGGGCCTGGTGACAAGCTCCGTAACATGCTGAGCCATCTCTCCAGCCCCCTATAAACCTATTTTTAAATGGAGGTTTTAGTTGAAAGTTATTGCACATTAAGAAATTATATATTCTTTATTTAACATGTATTTAACAAATAACCCACATAACCTTTTGTAATTATTGCTGTGAATGAATGAGAATTTGGAACCCCAAGCCCTTTGGGAGTCCCAATTCAGAAACTGGGAAGATTGGGAGGATCTGGGGGTGGAGGGAAGTGGGGGAGGGAAAAGCTTAGTCAGAATATATTGTGGGAAAAAGTTTTAATTAGAAAAAGCAAGTGCTTCAGTTGCTTTGAAAATGTGGAGATGCTGATATTTGAGACTATAATGACAGTTTTTCATTGTTTTCTTTGATGGTTTTGATGACATGGAGTGAACTGGGGCATCTCCACTTCTAAGGTTTAGATAATGTTGTTCCCCTTTTAAAAAAATATGCATCTGGACCATCAACAAGTTGGCTTGTAAGTTTTTCTTTTTAATGGTTGGTATTATAAACTAGGGGTCAGAACTAAAAAGAAAAGAAAAATTCTTTTGAAAAATGATTTATTTAAGTTGGGCATGGTTGTTGCGGAATATTTGTTTACACTGTGTAAAGATGTGTCACTGTGATTGGTTTAATAAAGAGCTGAATGGCCAATAGCTAGGCAGGGGAGAGTAGGTGGGACTTCCTGGCAGAGAGAGGAAACACAGGCGATGCCAATGAGACACTGGAGAAGTCGGACATACAGTACAGAGGAGAGGTAACCGAGCCGTGTAGCAAAATGTAGATTAATAGAGACAGGTTAATTTAAGTTAAAAGAGCTAGTTGGGAGCTATGTCAAGCTTTCATAATTAATAATAATTGTCTGTGTTGTTATTTGTGAGCTGGGTTCAAGGCTAGCCTGGTGTACAGAGCAAGTTTCAGGACAGTCAGGGCTATACAGAAAAAGCTTGTCTTGAAAAGCCAAAAAAAATTATTTGCATGTGCACATACATGTACACACTGCATTCTTCTGGGTTTGCACGGAAGCCGCAACAGATCCACCTCACCTTAATCCCCCAGCAAGTTTATATCTTTTTGGGAGGGGGCGTGTTTGAAGACAGAGATTCTCTGTGTAGCTTTGGCTGTCCTGGAACTCCATATGTAGACCAGTGTCCCGCCTGTAGGGCTTCAATGGGTTCTCGACCACCCTAAGGACGGAATGATAGGGACAGGAGATACAAGGAAATACACCAAGTCTAGATTCTGATCAAGGTGTAACTTTATTTTTCTCCAAGAGGGTTTATATAGTTCCTGCAGGGTGCAGGGAGCAAGAAGCTGTCATCTGCATAAGGTGGGGCAAGCTATCAGGATGTTTGTATAGGATGTTTACAGGGTGAAAGGGTCAAGGGCTCTGCCTCAATGTCCTGTTGCTAGGCAACCTGACTGTAAGATGATCTAGTTGCCTGTCCTTAGAGATTCTGTCCTTGTCCCTGACAGACCAGGCTGGCCTTGAACTCAGCTCACAAATAACAACACAGAGAATTATTATTAATTATGATGCACTTGCCTCTGCCTCCTGAGTGCTGGGATTAAAGGCATGCGCCACCACCACCCAGACATGCTTTTTTCTTCTTTTAAAAATAAGCCACTGAGTCCAATTTGTGCCGCCCATATAGTCCTGGGCGTGGGACCATCCCCTGGAGCGTGGTCAACCTACAGGAGCCACACTCTTGAAGAAAACTCTCTTCCCTGAAGCCATCAACTGTCCCTAGTTCCTCAGCTCAGGGTGAGGGGTGGGGCAGGGGTGGGCTGGGAGGCGGGTGGGGATGTTGGAATGTTAGCCGGCTTGATCTTGTGCGGACAACCGCTGCTGCCCAGTTCCTAAACGGTGCGGTCCTGCCATTTGAAGGAGACACATAATTATCTCCTCACAGTCCTCACCCCCCCCCCAGTACAGTTAAACGGGGAGTGAGACTGCATATGTGCACACCACGTTCAAACCATAGCAGCCCTGACTCGCCATCTAGCATCTCCCTGGCATTTCCATCATCCCGGAACTCTCAGATGCAGCGCATAGAATCACCTTAGAAACATTGAACTGAAACTTAATTCAGAAACGTCTGAGGAGCTGATGAGGTGGATTAGTGGGTAAAGTGCCTGCTGAGCAAGTGTGGGGACCTCAGTTTGGGTCTCCAGCATTTATGTAAAAAGTTGAAGGTGGCCACACACCTGTT